ATTTTATTCCGCGTGATATGTGATGTTAAGCGCTTATCGTCATCTTTTCATGATATTATTCTGAGAATGTAGTGTAATAACGAAAATTTCAACATACCGATTAAATATTAGACTAATATGATATGCATGTTTAGGTGATGAACAATTTGAATGAAGGATCAAAAGATGAAGTATACTTTCCTATGAGATAAGTTGAGAATTTTTGTGTAGTTTCACATTAATATCGGTCGAATGACCCCTTGTTCATGTTTCGATGGATACACTATTTTTATAAAAGTCTTAAAGCATAACTCTTAGAGGGCAGGATCTTAATAGTAATTTAGGTGTTACAACGTTGAGACCAAAAGTCAAACTTAAAATTTTATTTATTATTAGAATAGTTGATAGAATAGTTTGTCAAACTATTTTTTTATATGTAAACATATCTATTTTTTTAAAAAAATACATGAGCTTTTAATTTATATAATCTTTGAAATTAATATTTATTTAAAAAAATAGTCCCTTACAAATTTTTGCCTCATTTATTAAAAAAATTATATAGTACAAATTTTCACTTTACAAAAAATAATGAAGAGAAAAATTAACGTTTGTAAACAACTTTTAATTTTTATGTAGTTATATATTATTATGCAAAAAGATTGTTAAATATGTGAATAATTAATTTTATTCAAGTCTCTGTTAGATGGACGATAGAGTAGTCATGCATAGTGGATAAAAACGGATACAATGGTTATAAAAAAAGAATTAAAAAGATAAGAGAAGTTTTATAAAATAATAAATAAATAAAGAAATAAAAAAATAAGGTAAAGACCATTTAGATTGAATGTAACTCTAAAAAAGAAATTAGTCTTTTTCTGAATGTTCAACGATCATTTTATCCTCTCTTTAACTTGTAAAATTAGAAAGATTATAAAATCTATCAATTTTATTATATTTGCTCATACTTATAGAGAGACAAGTTAATGTGGTGATTGTCTCTTAACTTATTCATTTCTAGATACTAGTAGTATTTGGTTTTCTAAGCAAGGAAAAAGGAGGAGAAAAAAGAAGATAAAAAACAAAAAAAATATAGAGAGAAAACGAAAATGGAAGGGGAAAAAAATTGTTGAAATAAAAATAAAGCATGAAGGGAGAAGTTGAAAAATTAAAGAAAAAAAATATTGAGAGAAAAGGTAAAAAATAAAGAACAAAGTAGTAGACATCGAGTAAAGGAAAATAAGTAAATGTCTCTTTTCATTCTTGATTATTCAAAAAATTATTATAAAAATTTTACTTGTTCTTCTCATGTCTCTAATATACTTAAAATGTTTATAACAAATACTTCATAATATATGAAAAATATAAAATAAGTAAAATCAAGAATATGAAAGTTAATCCCATTAAAATTGAGTGAGTGAACAACACCATCAACTCTAGAACTTCCATGATAGTCACCTTCATATCTCCTTTTCTTTGTCCCTCTTTTTAACTACAAATCTTGTTGCTGCAATTTGATTCTCCATGACAGCAATATTTGAAGTTTTGTTGACATCACTGCACATGTATTCTTCAAACTTTACCTCGCTTACTACTCCCTCCCGCCCATTGCTTTTGTTTTTCTTTTAAACCAATTTGGTTTGATTCAAGCCCAATAATAAAATGTCCAAAGTTTTTATTTTATTTTACTTGTTTTATTTTTGTTTTGTTGACCATACCATGATACTAGGCCCAGTTTGAACGTGAAGACTTGCATTAAAAATAATACATAAAGTAAATTTTGTCTTTTTTTTATTTCTCTGTCTAAAAAAAAGGGAAGATGTCAATCTAAACATAAATAATAAAATAAGTCATGCTTCTTATTTTTAATAAATTAAATAACTAAGTATTTAATCAGTTAAAATTATTCTTTATTTTATCATATAATATTTTATAATACTGACTTGTAATTTATATTACTTTTTATATATAACTTACATTATCATAAATTCTTTTAATATCAAATTTTAAATTAAAATATATATTCAGATACTATTCACAAATTAAAACATAAGAGAATCCAAAATTATACTCATCCTCGCTTTTTTGTTATTAGTTTGATTAGAGAGTTATTGAAAGAGATTAAATTTATTAAATTCTCATATATTTTTAGATAGGCTAACCAATTTTGATTGGCTAAAATTTGAGCATGAGAATGAATTATCTATTCTGTATTTTGAAGAGTCTCTCCCTTTCCTAATGCCTTTTCTAAGACTGGATTTTCTTGATTCTTTGTATCCTAGGTTTGTAGTGTAAGTTTTTGTTTTATTTTAGACTTTTAAGCTCCGTTTAATAGTAATATATATATATATATATATATATATATATATATATACTATTTTTAACTATTATATTCTTTTTATAATAATTTATAATATGAATGTGTTATTTTTCTTCTTCTTTAGAGTTGTTTATCATATGATAACATGTTTAGTCACATTGTATTGTATCTTAAAAGTTATAATTTATTTTTAAAAAATAATTTTAAAATAAATTTTCTTAAAATCTTATAAATTTTAAATTAATAAACTACTTTCACAATATTTTAAATAAAATTACATATCTTTGAGTTCTTTATTACATATGAGATACGTACGAGCAAAAATATTCATTAAGTTAAAATAAATTTTTTTAAAGTATCAATTAATATTTTAGTGAATAAATTTTCTTTCTTTTAAGGTTTAATTTTAGATAAATTTAATGGATGTTGTACAAGGTTAATGCTTTTCCTATACATAAATTATTCTCAAAATTTATTTTAATTTCAAATATTTTTTTATAAAAAAATTTAATATTTTTTTAATAAACTATAATGACAATTTTTCTTTTTCAAAAAAATATTTTTGTTTTTTAAAAAAATTTTTAAAATTTTTGCTATCCTATTATGACAATTTACCTTTAACATTATTTGATAGCAAGAGTTAATTAAGTAGTCATTATTAAGAATGTGTGTTTTATAAATTTCAAACTAAATAATATAAATTTCTAATAGTCAATCATATTTATCTCTAATTAATTATATTTATCATTAGTTTAAGTATAATTCCTTTAATTTTTATTTCATTGATCAATCAAAATATATTCTCTTAAATGTTTTTCTATTTTATTATTAAATATAATTAATTAATTAATTAAACTAAAACTATTTCATTTTATTAATTCAACTACTTAATGTGTAATATTTTTATTTTTACATGTTATAAATCGTCAAGACATGTATACTTACGTTACTTTAAGTTTCATACAATACATTAACATTTTAAAAATTAAAATGTATTTTATTTTAATTCAATAGATGCCACTTTATTAACAAAAATGTATTATTTTAAATATTTTTTTCTTTAATTATGAATAGTACCAGTTTATTTTAATTAAAAAATATTTATATTTTTAAATTATTAGATAACTAATCAAAATATATTCTATAAGATATTTCTCCCTTTAATTACTATATAATTGATTTAATGATTCATTAACCAAATTAAAATCATATTCATACAACAATTTGTAATGTTATCATACAACTTTTTTATTATACGTTTTAAATTGTTGAGACTTTTGTACACCAATTTATTGGATCTCATAAAGTACAAACTTATTAAATTATATTTTAAATTTATCTTAGTTAAATAATTATCTTTATTAACTAATATAAATATTTTTTTTCTTTAAATATTTCTTCTTTCATTTAATACAACTCACTTTTATATTTTTAAAATTTTAAAACATATTTATAACTTTATAATTTAAATAACTAAATATTTAATTTTTTATAAATTAAAATACATTATCTTAATTACTATACTATTTTATAAGGATTTACAATATAGACGTATGATTTTCTTTCGCCTTTATAATGTTTATAGTAAAATGTATAGTTGTGCTATCTTATATCCTAAAAAATATAATTTTTAAGAAGAGAAAACTAACCTTAAAACAAATTCTTTTAAAATCTTATGAATTTTAAATTAACAAACTAATTCCATAATTTTTTATAGATAAAACTAAGTGACTTTAAGTTTCCGGTGTACTGAAAATACGAGAAAAAATATACTTGTCAAGTCAAAACAAATTTTAAACTAAATTTTTCTCTTTTCTAAAAATATCAATTAATATTTTGATAAATAGATTTTCTTCTTTTCAAAGTAAAAATAGCAAAATTTATTATTTAGAGGTTAAACAAATATTTTTAAACATACAATAAATTTACTTAATTAATTTAAGGTAACATTTATTTAACGTACATTAAATATGCTAATATTTTATTTAAATGTAAATAACTCTCAATTTTTTTTAAATCATACTATTTAAAAAATATTTAAAGTTTTTTTAATAAACATTTATGATAATTCTTTTGATTTTTTAAAAAATATTTTATTTCTAATAGATATTTTTTAAAATATTTCTATATTACAAAAAAAAAAAATCAATTAAAGTAACAAATTAAATAAGCATTAAATGTTATCTCAAAGTCAAATATAACTTTAATTTATAATTTATAACTTATTTCACCGTTCTCTCATTTAATAATCACTATTATGAAAAGGATAAAATAATAATATTTTAGTAAATAAAATTTAAATACTAAATAAATGAATAATTTTTAATAATGTATTAAAAAAGTGTATTCAAAAGTATAATATTAGTATTTCTCTTTTGTAATGTATGCTCACAAACATATATTTAAAAAATAATAAAAATATACATAAAATACTTAAAATTATAAAAAAAATATGATTTTATTAATTTCAGGAGGATTAGCAATTATAATATTAAAAATTTATTAAAAATAATAATACTTTTATAACTTTAATATAATGATTTTTTATAATAAAATAAAATTTGTATTTTTTTCTATTTTCCTTCACACATATTTTTGAAAAATTTAACCAAATATGCTTTGCATTTTACTTTCATGAACCCTAACCATTATTCAAATAATCTATTTTGAGTTGAGTTTTTTATAATAATTTTGTATATTAATTTTAGTAACGCTTTTCTTTTATATTTTAATTAGAAGTACGAGTCAAATTTTTTTATAAAGAAAAAAAAGTTTCAAGTTGCATGAAGATAAATAAATTTGACAAAAAGAAGCTAATAAATTCACATAAAGAGGAATGCAATTACATATTTTTTAACATGTTTTCTAACATTTTTATTAATTAAAATTTATTAAAAATTAAAAAAGCATTATAAGAGAAAATATTAATTTAAGAATAACAAAAAGTGAGACTTATATAATTTTTAATAAATGTTAATCAATAATAAGAATATGTTAAAAAAATATGATGCAAGCATTACTTTTCATATAAATAAAAAATTAATATCAAAAGAATAAAAATTAAATAATTAATCTACTTATACCTTTAAAATACTGACTTTTGTTAAAATTATATAGCTTAAAATTAATTATATCAAAAATGTTAAAAGAAAACAAATTTCACTCTTTTTTTTAACCATAAAAATTATATTTTATGTACATTAATTATTAAATTATTTAATATTTTTATAAATAAATATTTTGATTCATTTAATATATAAATTATTAATTAATTTATTTATTATTCTGAATAACATAATATAAATAAATCCTACCAACCAATAAAAAATAAAAAAGTTTTTCTTGGAAAACACATTTGATTGCATTATGAACTTTGAAAAACGCATTTGACTGCCTTGGAAATTATGAACTTTGGAAAATGCATTTCACTGCATTGGAAAATATGAAATAGGTTTATTTATTATATTTTTATAAAAAAATTTACTTTTATTTTTTAATTAACGCCTAAAAAAAAGTAAAATTTAGAATGTTAAATTTTTTTAATCTATTGTATTAAAATTTATTAAAAACTATATAAAATATTAAATAAAAAAGTAAAATTTACATAATTTTATGATTTTAATAAATTTTAATTAATAATTAAAAATCATTTTTTTATAATTAAAAATGTTTTAGTAAATGAATTTCTATGTAAGTATATAACATATAACTCATTATTATTATTAATTTATATAAATAAATGAATTATGTTTATAAAAAATATAAAAAATATTTTAAATTTTATATTTAAAAATATTATAATTTAATTATATTTATAAAATATATAAATAATTAATATGATAATTAAAAATTTTGTCAATTTCATTTCTTCAAATTGAGTTCAAATATCTAAAAGTAATAAATATATTTATTATATTAATTTTTTATATTTATTAAAATATAACAATTATATTTGTAATAAAATTTTACTATTATTTTTTAAAAAAATTATTATTAATATCAATATTTTTAATCAATAAATAAAATAATAAATAAGAAAACATTAAATTTTATTAAAAATAATAAAAATTATCATTAATGCATGAAAAAGCTTTAAAAGCAACTTAACAAAACCGAAAATTTATTTACTTTGTTATTAATATTTTGAAGTGGTTGGAAGGCTATAAATACTGCTTTAAACCTCTGCGAGTATCACCAAGAAGCACTCAAAAAACACACTCACCACCGCTTCATTTTTTCAGTTTCTGCAAACACAATGCAATTCAGAGTGTAAAACCCTTAAAATCCGTAATCAATGGCATCCAAATCCTCACCAACCCGTTTCGCCCTACTTCAAAAAGGGTTTGGCCGTCGAAATCAGCTTCCGCGCGGCTTGTGGTTTTCCGGCACCGTCATCATCTTGCTCGTGGCGGACAAGTTGTCCGTAGAGTAAGATTATTTGTTTGCGGATGAGGAAGGCTCCGATCTCCCGACATCAGTCCTGAGTCTGCACCGGCTCCGGCCGCGGCCACCGGAGATTCATCGGAAATTCGAAATCGTCGACAAGGTTGACGCGCTGCACAACGATGGCTGGCAGGAGTGCAACGTCCCCGACGATTTGGGTAATGGAAGTTTCGGTGGTGTGCGGTTGGAAGAGTCTAAGGAGAACGTGGTGTTATCGGAGAAGCAGCTTAGGCTGCACCGCTAGTGGGTCGATATCAATTCGGTTCCCCCAATTACTATTCCCCAACCCACATGGCCGAGGTATTTCGTATGCTGTTTTTTTCTTTTTAATGAACTGTTTTTCTAGCATTCTGATGTTAAAATATTAAAAATAATATTTTATTAAAAGTTTATTTCATATGCCAAGTTTTTTGTTAATCTGTTGGAGAAGTTGATAATGTGATTTGATAGTATAGTATTTCTGTGATCTAAAGCAAGTGAGTTTATGAGTAATTAGGTCCAGGTATCGGTGAGAGGAAGAGAAATGGAGCAGTACATGGCTATGCAGATGAGGACGAGACAAAGGGCTGTTGAAATTTGGAATTGGATTGATCCTCAAGTCCTAAATGTGGAATATGCCATGTCTTAGTGTTCAGCAGTTAAAAATTCATACAAATTTAAGTTTTACACCCAATTTTGAGACTCTCCCTTTAATCTTTTGCTATAAGTGGTTAACATGTCTTCTTGAGCTTTCAGTTGAGTGTAAACCTTCACAGATAATACTTCCGGATTCTCTGCAGTTGCCTGCATTAAAAACCCTGCATATTGATTATGTCTATTCTGCTGCAAGTGACAATGGAGTTGCTGAACCCTTTTCAAACTGTCCCATTTGAGATACTTTGATCCTTACATGTTGTTCTTTGCATGAATCAGCTAAAGTCCTCTGCATATCTAACTCTACCCTTTCTAGTTTGGCAATATGCAGTTTCCTTGAAGTAGAAGCTTATGAAGATGCACTTACTATTCCAAATCTTAGTTCTTTCACTATCAAAGGTTTTGCTTCTCACCAACTCTCCTCCACATGCAATCTTTCTTACCTTGGAGAAGCATATATTAATGTGTTTAACTATGCAAGTTCACCAGTCATAGGATGTCTGCAAATGCTATCCAATGCAAAGAAATTGAAATTCTCTATATAGTTATCACGAAATAATGAGTGTAATTATATGAATTTAGAATATTAATATACAAATTTATAATAACAATAATAATATCACTTATTTGTAAAAACTTTAATATTTATTAAACCTAAGTACCTCCAATTATATGTTTAGAAATTAGGTCCATACTATATTTCATATAGAGAATTATTGTCATAAGTAATTAATCACATTATTAGTATACTTAAATATTCTAAAATAGATAATAATATTAGTCTGTTTTTGACAAAATAAAAAAATTGCTATTAATTATAGTTCATAATAAATTTTATAAAAAATTCTAATATTCGTGTTGAGCAATATTATATGTAAGTTACTTTAGTATGTTTTTGCCTCTTTATTTTTTTTATTAGTCATGAATTGTCTGCATTCATATGTTTAAAATTTTGACAATTCTCAATTTTGCATGTCATAATATCCATTAAAATGACTCTAAGTTACTCTAATTGTGTAAGATCTCTCAAATCTTAGTTTGGTAAAACCTGAGGCCAGATGCATTTTCAGATTGGAGTCAGTTGATGTCAGAATAATTTCTTTAGGTTATGGTTTCTTCTAACATGGACCAAACATCTTCACATGACTAGTTGAAGTGGGTTATATTTGAGGTTTTATATTTATGATTGTTATTTTAAATATTTATCTTCTAGTTTATTCTTCATTTCTAAAATCATATATTTTATTGAAATTAACCTTTAAAATGATCCTTTTTTAAAAAAAACTTGATTTTACTTAAATATTATTGATTTTTATGTACACTATTATTTGTTAAGCTTTATTAATGATTAATTTTTCTAAAATGTACAATATTGCACATGATAAGAAGTTATATATAGTAAGTTTACATTAAAATTAATGCATTGATACTATTAAATGCTATAATTTTTGATAAATAATTACTAATGATTAATTTTTCTAACATGTACAATATTGCACATGATAAGAAGTTATATATAGTAAGTTTACATTAAAATTAATGCATTGATATTATTAAATGCTATATTTTTTAATAAAAAATTACTATATATAACTTCTTTTTATCATGTGTAATGTTGTACATGTTAAAAAAATTAATTATTTATATTTTTAGTCTTTCTAGTTTGAGTTATGTGTAATTTTGGTTTTTCAATTTCTTTTAAGTTAATTAAGTTTTTCTATTTTTAAAATTGTATAAATTTAGTCTTTCATCCATTTTCTTTTATTTAAAATTTTTAATTTTTTTCTTCAATTTTTTAGGGTTTGCAATGAAATTAAAATATCAAATATTTTTAAAAGTTTAAAAAGTGAAAAATTAATGAATAATTGATGAAATTTAAAGGATTTTATAAAATGGGATATTAAGTTTTTAAAAATATTTTTTAAAGACTTTTTAAAATTGAGTAAAATTTGATATTTTAGTTGATTTTAAATAATAGATAATTTAATCAAAATATTTATACAAAAATTAAATAAAAAAAATAGAATTTATGATTTTAAGATAGAAGAAAATTGATGAACGATTATATTTATATAATTTTAAAAATAGAATGACTTAATTAGCTCAAAAAGATATTAGAAGACTAAAATTACATAATTTAAATTAAAGAGACTATAAATACAATTAAGCCTTTAATTTGTTAAATAGTTTTTACTTGCTATTTCTTTTTGTAACTTAACCAACTTTCATTTACTATTTCTTTTTCACTAATTATGAAATTTTTATTTTTGTATTTTTTTATTTCTAGCCTTAATGAAAAAAGGTACTTTTATATTTCAAATATCTTGAAATATAAATGAAATTAGGTTTAGTTAAGTAATTGATTTTTTGACTTAAATAATATATCTTTAAAAGTAATTTTTAAAATAAGATTTTTTTTTAAATTAATTTTTTATCTAGTGCTTTTTTTTTGTTATGTTAGTGATAATATCATCTATGTATAGACGATATTATAAATTATTATTATTATTATTATGTTAATAGACTATCGTTCCAAGATGGTAGATACTATCTTAAAAATTGACATGTGTTGTTAGTATCAGATAGGATAAAATAATAATAAATTATTATTATTATTTTAATAGTATTAAATAACGTAGGATGATAGTAAATTTTTGTTATTATTTTAATAAATTATCGCATGGAAATGTTTGATACTGCATGCACATCAGACGACTGTCATACTTACTTTTGCTTGCTAAAGTCCTTGCTTCTAATAAGGTTTCTCATCCGTGTTAAAAGATCAAATACATAAACGACTGTCTTACTCACTTCTGATGTGCACATAGTATTGGTCATTCTAATGTGATAATTTATTAAAATAATAATAATAAAAATTTATTATCGCTCTATCTCGTCTGATATACATGACATATGCCAATTTTTTAAGATAGTATTGATAATCTTTGTACGATAGTCTATTAAGATAATAATAAAAATTTACTATTGTCCACGTGCAAACGATACTATCGCTAACATGGCAAAAAAAGCACTAGACAGGAAATTAGTTTTTAAAAAAAATCATATTTTAAAAATGCATTATTTAAGTAAAAAAGGCTAAGTAGTTAGTCTATAAAATTATTATATTTTTTTATTTTTGTGATTTATAAATATTTTATTTAATTTTAGTCTCTAAAAAATACGTGATTTTAGTTTAGGAGTTTTTTTTTTAAATATAGAGATTAAAAATAAATAAATATTTATAGAAACTAAAATAAAATAATATTTTTAAAGATTATTTATTTAATTAAAATGAAACTAACTAAAAAATATATTGCAGGAAACAAAATAAGAGAAGGTCCAATAAACAAAGAAGAGTAATTATTGGTCTTGGATTACTAGCCATCCATACTAGATAAGATACTCATCATGTTCATAACTCGTTAACATAATATGCTAAGGTAATGTTTGATGTTGAGACTTTTAACATAAAATATGTAATGCTTTAGAAATAATAATAATAAAAAGTCTCAATTGTGAACCCAGCTTCTCTGGAGTTGAGAAGCTACATAGAAGTCTAATTTTCCATGACCATGTCCATCCTCCCATGTCAAAAAATCTGAGGTATGTTTGCCTTTTGGGAAGCTTGTTGCAGTTAGGCTCATTTTGGTTAAACATTCATGTAAATACTTATATGAAAGAAAATAAAAAGATAATATAAATATTTTTTTTTCATAAGTTAATATTAACTTTTGCATCTTAAATTTTTGAAGTTGACTGAAAAAACTTTTAAAAGAATAAAAGAGCAGAAGTTAATATTAACTAATTAATAACAGTGATTTGATTCATTCTGTTCTTTATTTTTATTTTTTATAAATATTTATTGAAAAGCTTACAAATTGGACCTTACTCAAACCCCACTTTAAAATGAGAATATCTAACCTGTTCTTGGAGTTGCTAATGTTTTGAATGTACTACTTGTTTATTTTAACAAATACAATTGAATATAGAATGTGTAACACCCAAGTCTCAGAACAAATGTACCATATTTTTCTGGCATATGAATGATTTTGCTCACTTTTGAGTCCAGTTGTTTAGAGAATCGAACCAGGAACTCTATTTTCGACTTGTCGTTAGATTTTAGTTCCATTATCTGAGTGCCATTCAAACTTATTTGAATTATATATAAATCTAAGTTTTTTATAAAACTTTTAGTATTCACAATTTTTTAATGTTATTTGACCCGTGATTCATTAGTTAAATTAATAATTCATTGACTGAGTACTCCAACCTAATCAATGATCGTACTGAATTTAATAATTATATCACTAATTTTTTCTGGAAAGATTTAAAAATAAGTCTTTCAAGTAAAAGAAATTATATGAACTTCTCATTAGAAAAAAAAAGGTAAATATACGCTTTAAAAAGTTTTTTGACATACATATTTTAAAATGATATATTTTTTGCTTAGGTAAAATTAAAATCAACAAATAATTTAAGACACCAAATTAGTTGAAACATCAAATAATTTCTATAATTGGGTTGAAAATTTAATTATAATTAATAGTTTAACATCGGTATAATATAACAAGCTATTTTATCAGTATTAAGAATATTTTAAATGTTTAAATTCTCAAATAAGGTAGAAACATTTTTTTTCTTTCTAAATCATATTATTAATAAAAAGGATGTAAGTGGAGAAGTTTATCTTTTCTGCATGAGTAAGGGAATGTGTGGATCTTCTCAAGAACAATATGGCTTGTCTAAGGTTGGTGGATAGTAACGAGCTGAGACCAATGTTGCATTTTGGGAGAGGAGGTTCTCAAAAAACTTTGCTTCCCTTGGCATGGTGCCACTGGTTATTAAACTATTGCGGAAGCATATAGGATCTGTGACTATGAAAGAGAGATTGAAGTACATTTGGAGACTGCTACCGGCTTTGAAGTGATGGATATTTACAATGGATTAATGGATTCTACAGGGTGAAGTTTGATATAAAGACTGTTTTCTCAAGGGTTTTGTGGATTATCTTTTCTTTTACCACTACTTTACGATGCAAACATGCACGGTCTCCCAATTTTGGGTCTTCTATAGCAAAGTTGGAAAGAATCGTAGTTTAGATCTCTTATACCCAAGTGTGTTTTTACAAGGTCTTAACTTTGTTTTTTATTTTTAAATGATGAAAATGTTTTATTTTCCTTGCCTCGGCTATTGGCTTTCTCATCAAAGTTTATATCAACACGTTCAACTGCAAGAAAGGACGTTTTGCTAGAGTTTGTAGAAGTAAATCTCAAGCCAGCAATTGTTAGGAGTGGTGAGTTGAAATGGTCCTTTGGTATCATGTTGAATGTGATAATTTTTAGTTAGACTAAATACAAGGACTAAAAATTAAAAATAACAATTTATTAAAATATAAGAAATAAAAATGTATTTAACACGGAACAGTAAGTGCTAATAAAATAAATAAATAAAAATTATACAATGGGCAGAGAATGTAAAAATAAAAGCAGATGAAAAGAAAAAGGCGGGAATTTGAGAGAAAAGAGAAGCAGTGAAACGCTTTAACTCCCTCTCTCTGCGCATCAGTAATCGAAAGGGTTGAAACCTAAATTCAACGTTGCAGCAACAAATTCCACTTCCTCACAAAGGTATTCATCGCATAACCTCTCTTCTCTTTTCACCTATCATTATCATTACCACAACAATCATCTTCAAACCTTTTTCTTTCTGTGTTGCTCTGCTTAGTATTTGCCAAAGTTTTCACTCACCTATTTCGGAACTCACTCAAACGTTATCCTTTTTTATTTTCACTTTCCAAATGGTTAATCGATAAAGGCCCTTTTTTTTATTATTAAAATATACTTTTGATCTGGTGGAATAATTATTTACAAATTAGTTTATGAACAAAATTTAAATATATATATTTTAATTTTATTTTTAAGTTTTTGAAAGATCTATTTGAAAAGTTATTTATCTACTTCATTGTCGTCCTGATTAATGTAGTAATCTCACGGATAAGGCTGTTGTATTGTTTGTATATTTTTGTAACGTTTTTTTTTAATGTATGTTCAAAGGTAGTAAGAACATGTGTATTAAAGATCATAGTGTTTTACAAAATTTATGTAATTGATAACATTAAATACTACGATTTATAATAAAAAAAGTTATTATTTATGGATTTTGTAATGTGTGTCTGTGAGCACACTTCAGAAAACTGACACATTAAAAAATCGAATTGATCAAATATATGTAACATGTTTGGGTCAGGTATCAATGAAAAGAAAAGAAACTGAGGGGAAATCGACGCTGAAGATGAACAAGGGACAGAGAAAACGTGGAAGAAGAGACAAAAGGGACAGGTTCAGTGAGTTACCTGATTGTGTTCTTCTCCATATAATGGAATTTATGGACACCAAACAAGCTGTTCAGACTTGTGTCTTATCTAAACGATGGAAGAACCTTTGGAAACGTCTCACTAATCTTGCTTTCAATACTGCATACTTTGATAACGTTACCAATTTCAGTAAATTTGTGTCTCAGGTTCTGTCTAATAGAGATGGTTCTGTTTCCCTGCTTAATCTTGATTTCACACGTCGCGGTCTTGCTGAGCCTAAACTCTTGAATAGGGTCATGAAATATGCTGTGTTGCACAATGTTCAGGTGTTGACAATCTTTATAAACTTAAATTTCAGACCTAGTTTTGAGTTTCGCCCTTTCATCTTTTCGTGTCAATCTTTGATGTTTCTTAGGCTTTCCATTAGTTCTTATGACCCTTCATTGATAGTACTTCCAGAGTCTCTGCATATGCCAGCATTAAAAAGCTTGGAACTTGAGAGTGTCACTTTTACTGCTGGTGACAGTGGCTGTGCCGAGCCATTTTCGACCTGCAATGTATTGAATACTTTGGCTTTGGCAAATTGTGCTTTGCATAATGATGCAGAATTCCTATGTATATCTAATTCTAACCTTTCCAGTTTGACCATACATGGTGCCTATTTAGCAGGAGTTTACAAAATTATGCTTTCTACTCCAAGTCTTAGTTCTCTAACTATTACGGATCATTACAATCACCGATTCTCCTCCACATGCAATCTTCCTGTTCTTGAACATGTAACCATTGACACCTTTTGTCGTACATATGTTCAAACTGACTTGTACATCATAAGCTGGCTGCAAGTGCTCACTAATGTAAAGATAATGACACTCTCTTCGAGTACCCTTGAAATAATACGAAATGTAAGTTAATCTATTATGTTTTATTCGCTTAATTTTTCATAATGCTAAGGGATGTCTGCATTATTGAGACAAATTTTTTGCCTATTCCTTGTCGGTCATTCATGAATATCCATTAAAATATGTATCCAATTTACGCTAATTGTAGGATCTCGCAAATCCTGTTTCAATGGCTGCTCAACCTCCCTGCTTTGTTAGATTGGAATTATTGAAAGTGGAAATGCGTCAAGATGCAGGAATATCTGATGCAGAAGTAAACAGGATAGTGGAGTACTTACTTCAAAACTCTCCACCAGCAAGAGTTGATGTCATAAATTGCTGAACGTTATATCCATGCATAACCCTTTAGATAGATATATTTACATAATATTCAGTCTTGTTTTTTGCTTTTGTTTCTCCCTGATATACTTAATACACTCTTCTTTCAGTACAGAAAATTATGGTTTGCTATATTTAATATTTTTGAGTGCCTTGATTATACTTTATGTTATAGATGCTATTTTTTTTTCAATTTGGTTTGACAGATAAATTTTAAGTTTGAGAAACTATCAGTTCGGGGGACAATGTGTCTGGAACTCACAACTTTTTCATGCTTTTGTTGGGGAATGATGGTAAGTAAAGCATTCTGTTTAACATTGAAATGAGACTGCATCAGAAAACAACTCTTAATAGCAAATATTTTTCAAATTACGAACATATTTTTTATTGGCAGTAATCAGTTTGATTTGCCTATGAAGTTTTATTTAACATTTATTACAATCTAGATCATCCTTAAAGAACAAAAGTGCTGACGAAAAAGATCCGTATCAGTCTGAAGAATCTGAAGTGACTTTATTTGCTAGTATATTGCATTATGGTTGTCAACTTTATATTCATGAAAGTAGATCAAATCCTTCTTTTCTGTAAGGCTAAGAATGATATTTAGTTATTGATTATGTTTGATTTCACATCTAGAATTTCTTAGATTTAGTTTCATTGCAGATCTAGATACAATCACAATCTTTATGGAAAGCATTTTGGTAAGTTCAAAATAGGAAAGAGATGAAGTAAAATTTTGGAAAATTGGAGTTTAAGATGATATAATAAAATTTCTAATACATTCACGAATTGTTAATTGTGATTTATTAGGAATTTGGTAATAAAGTAGAATTATATAGTGGGATTGATATGCTTGCTTGTCGGCTGCTGTTATCAGTAATACAGTAGATTGGATTATGTACTGACCAGTGACCAATGGTCGAGTTTTATATTAAATTTTCAGGATCATTGAAGAACTTTGTAGCCGTTATTTTGAAGTCATTAGTGATGGTCACCGATGGCTTAGTTTGGTTTTTAAAAATAAACCATGCCTTGCACCTTATTTTTATGGTTCTGTTAAAATGAATTATGCCTTTTTTTTATGGTTTAGTTTCTGGGAAGTCCTGAATAATTTGAATTGTTTGACCAAATAAGTAGTTGACCTTGTACTGTCACTTGTCAATGACTACAGTTCCCAGGAGTCAGGATGTTTGGCTGCCAGTTGTGCCATTATTTGTGCTTTTAAAACTGTTAGCCAACTAGATGTGCTTGTTTATTTATAGCTGCCCAATTTGTTTAATAATCAGTTCATTCTTGGATCTGGGTTTGGGATATTGGTGAGAATTTGTGGTGACTCAGTAACCCATTTTTTTTACATCTTTTTCTTCGTTTTCAGTTTGGATGCAGATTGAAATTGTCGTTGAATAGTTATGATTTGTCTTTCGTTTGATGTCAGTTGAATGTTGTGATATGAATTTGGCGAGAATCTAGGCAATAAATTATCCTGCAACTCACATGAACGAATGATTGAGACTAAGACTGGATCCATTGTTCATTTCCTTTACTCGAGATGCTCCTGACTGCATACAAAATGTTTGAACTACAACTGTGCTTTAAAGAATGCTTAGCACTTGATTTTGTGAATTGTTTGTTGAATCCCATGCCTCGTGTAACCTTGAATTTGGTTTGATTGATGGGAACTTAGAAGTTCATTTTCTTTTGCTGTGCTAGAGTATGCATTGAACTATTGTAGATGGTTGATGAAAGTGAAATTGTTCTTCAAACATGACAACATACATTTGTATGTTCACCATCTATTTGTGGCTGACTTTGAATTCTGTTTTTGCTATGTTATTTACTTGTGCTGTGTTAAAATGGATCTTTTGATTTTGTACAAGCTAAATGATGAAATGCTCTAATCACTGATATGTTAATTTTCATATCCCTGTGCTTTCTTCTTCCTATTGCTTCCATAATCCCGTTAAGCTTGTTTTGCATCCATTCAGAAATGTGTTATGTATTTGTTTGAAGGGTGTTAGCTATTGTTTGCATCCATTAAAAAATATTAGTGATATGCATTTTCATTTGCTTATCTACGATAGAATATTCGGAGCAAGCTGATTAAATCCTTTGTGCCAAAGGATCTAAACTGATTTCAACATCCAATTCAAACTGTTCAATGATAACTAAAGAATTTCCACTGTGCTTATGACACCTACACTATAGCTTTCTTGTATGTTATTATTCTTAATTCCTTCCCTTGTTATTTCCAGTGTAGTTTACCTGCAGTTGTATCCTCTCGAAATTTGACATTTACTTTTTGATTTGTCATGCATAATCTATGCAATGCAATAAAATCCTAGTGAGTTTTAGATTTCATGTATTTACTGGATTACTATGATTATCATGCTGAAACTGTGTTTTGGTTCATAGACTCGTGCTATATCATAAATTTAGATGTTGAAATCACTCAAAGTAAGCACTATTAATTAGATGTTGCAAATTATGTTAAAGTTGTGCCTTTTTTGGCTTAAGTTTGCTCGAGATTTCCCTTGTAGCATTGCTTTCCCGGTTTTAGTTTGTCATTGCATAAGATATATTGCTAAAATCATCATGTTTGTCACGATATAAAAATACGTGTTGTAGTCAAATGAAATATGGGTTGAAGACATTCCAGTTTGTATCTCTCCTTTTATAGCCATGGATTAAACTGGCTAGTTTAAATCCAAGTTCTGTTTTCCAGCGTGCGAGTTGTAATCAATGTTAAGCTAAGCTAATTACAACACTACTTAGACTAGCAAAATCCTTCTAAAATAAGGTATACTTTTAAATTTATTTAAGTTTGGTTGAGTGTCTCTTTAATTACACATTTCAGAAAATATCAAATCACCTGTCAACATACACTACCAGCTTAAATCCAAAGAATATAACATCTCAATTTAGTAATTTTGATATACAGCATTTTAATTTAATATAATCCAAATATGACCAAACTAATTATAATTGTAAATGAACAAAAAATCTAAAATAAGATATACCCAAAAAGTATTATTAGTGGGAGAAATTGAACCTGCTAGATAGATTGCCTCTTAGTTTCCTGAAATCTGGATGGAAAAATAATAATAGAACGAGGTAAACAGACTTAACGAGAGTATAATAAATATCATTAAATAAAAGAAATATCATATCAATTCATAAATTTTTATTTTTTCAAATTTTGTGGCAAGCGTACAAAGACATTAAAAATTTAAATATATATTTGGTCCTTCATATTTTAGCAATTTTTTGTTTTAGTCTCTTCAAACAATTTTTTGTTTGTTTTAATCTCTAATTTTTTATAAATTTTTATTTAGTTTCTAACGTTGAAGTAATCAAACTAAAAATTGATATATGGTAGTATATGAATCAGAGTAATGTTAGTACTAAAAACAAGAATTTATAAAAAAAAGAAAAGAAAGTAGGGGATAAATTTTTTTTTAAGGGATTAATTTATTTTTTTTGTTAAAATGTGATGACAAAAACATATTTAAACCAATATTAAACATTGTTTATTAAAAAAAATATTCAATAAATTCGTACATGAAAACCATCAATTTGCTGCGTGACAATGACATTTTTACCTTGTCGAAGTTGATTTGTGTAACTTGCCTGATCTAATTCAACTGAGGTCATGGTCTTGGTTTAATGTTAATTGAGGAGTTGTTTGTCCTTTTCTAACCAGTGTACTATGCAGGTGGATCTTTAAATTTTTTTTCTACTCAATTAATAATAGAAAATATTATAATGCTTTTTATCTTGTGTTGTTTTTCGTACATAATCACTCGTAACAATCCTAAAGCTATACAGTTACTGTTAATATGATATTTTTCATTTGGGGTTATAGCCGGTTGGTGCCTCGTAGCCTTCAGACAAGTTGGTTTCATATTTTTAATTCTTTATCGTTGATAACGTTACGCCATATGAGAAGAACAAAACAAATTAGCTCTTGTTTTTGTTAGAAAACAAAATTATTCTGCTTAAAGATTAGAGCTGGTCATGTCAAACTTTAATATACGCTTTCAGGGATTTCGGAAAATGTCATCAGGATTAAATATATTACTCGGACCCCAATTTTTTATGCCATTCTTCAATAATTTAATAACATTTTTCTTATTGATTACCAAAATATATTACCAAATTTTGATTTCTAGATTACAAATTATCAATCTATCATTTAATTTATATTTCGATTTTTGCAATATACAACCAAAAAAATAAAAATTAAAAAGTATCATAAAATTTAATACATTAATAATGTAAATAAAATTTACTATGTGTTATTTTTTAATGTATGCCCTCAAATATATGTTAAAAAACTATTTATATCTTTAGAATCAACTAAAAATTGAAACATCATTAATTGATTTTAAAAAGAGGCAAACAAATTTACCGATAATTATCATTTTAATTTTGTGTTAGATCGTGCTAGAAGAAACATTATTCCAAGTTTGACATCAAGATCAATAATTCAAAATTGGCTGAAAGACACTCACTCAGTCGAGCAATTTAAAATACGAGACACGTATTCCACTATTCCCTTTATAATCATGAATGGATAGAATTTACAATTTAAAAATGTTTTTATAACATCTAAGTTGACACATCTTTAAATACTTGTGTGTTATAAAATATATTTTAAAGATGTATATACATAAAAATAAAATTTTATTAAAAAATTTTATTATATCAAAATTATAAAAGTATAATAAATATTTTTTAATAAAAAGACATTATTATTATTCGTTTAAATTCAATTTTAAAAAAAGAAGTTAATCTTTTTTTAAAGTGAAATATAAGTAAAAGATAATTGTACAAGGGGTTGTATGATATGTTAAACATATTAAATTTAAACGGTTCAAACAATGTAACCTTTATATATATATATATATATATATAAATAATAGAATCTTATAATTCAGTCAGTGACTCATTAGCCAACTCTCAAAACTAGGGTCTTCTACCTCAAAACCCATGTCCTAGCTCCCAGTTTTCTTCTTCACCTGTTTTTTCATATTCCTACCAAACCCTATCTATTTAAAAAACCACAACACCACATCCAAAAACTGTTTCTAATCCTACCAAACCAAAATAACCCATTAACCATCCCCATTTTCCAATCTCTTCTTACCACTCTGTATAAACATTTTAAAACAAAACATTCTCACACAAAACACGGCACCAACATCATCAAATAAACAGACATCATTAACAAGAGACACACAAACACCCTCTACTAAGAATCCATATGAGCAACATCTTAGTACTCTTCCTCATAATATCATCATCTTTTCCCATGTTCCACACAACACGTGCTCAATCACGTGCACACCCAATGGTTTTCAACGAAACCACCACCACCAACTACAACAACACACCACTTCCCATGTTACTCGTTGTCTTCGTTTTCGCCTTCTTCATCACTGGCTTCTGCACCATCTGCATTCGCTACTGCTCCGAACAAGAAACGCTTCCTCAGAACCCAACTGGGACCCACCATGGAATCGACCCGCACGTGCTCGCCACGTTTCCCATCATGCCTTATTCCGCAGTGAAGCATCTCAAAACGGGTCAGAACGCAGCGTTGCAGTGCGCGGTGTGTTTGGGGGAATTCACAGACGCTGACGCGCTTCGCTTGTTGCCCAAGTGTAGTCACGTGTTCCACCCAGACTGCATCGACGCGTGGCTCGCTTCGCACGTGACCTGCCCCATCTGTCGGGCAAAGCTGAAGCCGGAAACCGATGATGTGAAGGTGGAAATTGAAGGGGAAGCACGAGCGCGCCATGTGTTTGATGAAAGTTCTGTGAGAAGGGTTGAAGTTGATAGTGGTGGAAACGAAAGTGGGGTGCGTGGGAATGTTGATGGATGTGTTGGGAAGGGTAATGGGTGTTCAAAGGAGAAAGCTTCTGGGGTGCTTTTGAGGTCACATTCAACGGGTCATTCATTTGTTGAAGAAGGGAAGGGTTTGGAGAGATTCACTCTGAGGTTACCTGAGGAAGTGATGAAGCAGATTATGGATGATTGTAAACGTGGAAGTGTGATGATGATGAAGCGTTCTGCCAGTTACGACGTCGTTTTGAGGAGTGGAGAAAGGGGTGAAGGTAGCACTAGTAAGGGAAAGAATAATAGTAATGGTAGGTGGGTTTTGTCCATGACCCCTCCCTTTGTTTCTGGTGGTTGGGGTTCTCTGAATGTGTCCTCTGGGATTCTGAGGATTTGGGGTTCGTCTGTTGCGAGAGGAGAGAGAGAGTCAATTTTCCAAGTGTTGTGAACTTGGATTTGACTAAGGACACTTGTCCATTTGTTTGAATTGATGGAAAAACACAGGGTTGGGTTCTGTTGTACAGTGTGTTGGAGAAATTGGAATGATTGAATTGATGATGTGTTATTGTTTGGCGCAATCCACGCAAACATGGGAGAATTCTGCCTTTACAGGTATGGGATAGAAAATGGTAATTTATTAGTTTTTTTTTTTTTAATGTGTGTGTAAGTACGTGTTAAGTTAAGAAATAGTTTAGAAAAAAAAATTAAAAATAATAATTTTTATTAAAAATGATCAAATTTAATATATTAATATATTATATTACAGAATTTTTTATTGTATATTCTTAAATATATCATACATATTAAAATTTTATTTATTAATTATGATATTATTTTTAATTTGAATTTTTTAGCATAAGTCTTACATTCTCTTTCTCAAGTTGAGAGTGAGAGTTCTCGCTCTTTATATATATTTGGTCCTTTAATGCTTTACCTCTGATTTTTAAGAGTAAATTAAACTGAACAATAATTGTGTTATTTGTTTGTTCTGGAGTTGTGTGCAACTGATTTTCTTAATTCTTAAAATGTAGAATACTTGAGGGCAGTAATTGTTTAAAAGGTTGCTTCTGCTTCTGCTTATGCTTCTGCAAATGTCTTTGTCAACATGTGAGAGGGGAAGCCAAATTAAATTTTTTTAAAAAAAAAACTACTTTTGTTTTATCCATTTTTGTTTTCTAATGCAAACTGTACCTCATAGGGAGTAGCTTTCATCTAATTAATTTTTACAATATAGTCTCAAACACTATTGTAAAAATTGGATCAAATTGGCAAGTTGAGCCAGATCCGGTCAACTATAGTTCAATCACAATTCAACAGTGGATTTAACTGATTAAATTAATTGAATCATTTTGAGTTTTTAAAACATTTCATAGTGGACTTTGTGTACTTATTGGTTTTACACTTAACTCATGATATTAGGATAAGAATACAGCTTTGACACTCCAATTGTCTAATAAACAGAAAAGTGATCCCACGAGACAAAGATCTGCAAAGAGCTCCTCATTTGATATCAACACCAAGAAGTGAGCCCATTAGAGCACAACTACTTTTAATGTGTTTGTAATGATTTTTAATGTAAATATTTATTATGCAAATTATAAAAGTGAAATTCTAACTATAACTAAAAATAACACTAATAATAATCATGATATTACTCTTAAATTTTGTCACTAATATAACCTCGTATGTATCTTTGTAAGTTTGAACAATTTCTTTAGTTTTTTTTATCTTAATTTATTGTGTATTCATCGTTACGAATAGAAATTTTTTATCTCTGATAAGTGAATTTGATAAAACATGTAGTTTGTCGTTTTATTTACACTTACGATGATTCAGCCCTCCATGGTGGCATTTGTTTCACTCTTATAGATGCAGAGAAGGATATAAAATATTGTAGAAATAAAAGAAAAATATTAATATTGTTGGAATGTAATTAAATAGAGTGGAAATAGATGGAAAAAATTAAAAATTTATTCTTGACATAATTACTTATTTATTCTTGACATATAACCTTTTTTTTTTATTTAGCTAATTTGCCTTTTTACTGTATATTTTCAAAGGCTTTGAAGGGGAGGTCAAAATGGACCCACTATATAAAATATAATTTTTTTTCATCTTTTTTATTGCATCCAAATAACTGAAGTTTTGTTTAATCTTTCTTTCCATACTTATTAAATTCCCTTTCTTTTAATTACATATAAACAAACACAGTGTTAATTAACAATTTAATTGAGTTCTTACTCTTGGCTCAATCTCCTATTCATTATATGTTTGTAATCACAGGTCCGTCAATAACATGGATGCATAATTAACTATTTTTCTAAGTCCAATAATTTTTCATTCTGTATAGTGTCTCATACCACTTTACGTGTTCATGTGTTGTCTGTGTCTTGTACCATAAGGAACTTGTTCCTTCTCTGTGTCGCTAGTCTGCTGCAAGAGTACCAGATTTTTTTTTAGGTTCACATTATATAATGATATTATTGTTAACATCAGCCTTTAAAATTAATTTCAAGCATTAAGATTTTATTTAAAAATGTATATTTATTACATCAGAAATATAAAGTTTTAAAAAATATTTATTTTTAGCTAAAATCTTACTATTCCTGATTAATTAAAGTCATCCTTAAAAGTTAACATTAACACTTTCTTATATAAAGAAACACTCAGAGAGTTAAATAGAGAACTTTAACACGAAATGTAGTTGAAGAATTGGGGCCGAGAAAAGTGTGATTTGGTTGATAAGAGAGAAACAAGAGTGAGAAATTTAGTTTCCTCTGGAGTTAATGAATTCATGTAACTTTAAATTTATTAAAAACTACAAAAATAACGTGATTTTTACTTTTTCTTACTTTTAAATTAATATGTCTTTCTTATATTATATTAAATTTATTTAATAATAAAAAATATATTTAAAAAAACAAGTGTTACTAGTATTATTTGCTTAATTTTGTTTTGAGGCATCGCTTCAATAGTTACTGTTTTTATTGTTTTGACTAACAATAATTATAGTAGGAGTTATGTTGAGGACGTCATGGGCTAATTGCAGCTGATGAAATTTTCAATTATAAATTTAATGCAGAAACTATAATTAAAAATGTTATTAATGTAATTTATGACCATATAAGGTAAAATCAAACACGCTCTTAGTGACTCTGCAATTGAGTTATAACGATGATGTGTCACATTATATGGTTTGCAATTTAAAATCTTACATCATGACACACTTATGAGTTTCAACAGTAGTTAAATAGGTAAATGTTTAAACTAATCATAAATAAATACAAGAAACACTTTGATCTTTAATAAAATTGATCATTTAATTTTATTTAAATTGTAAACGCATTTTTTTATTTGTTTGAATTAATATTTGCAGGGACTAATTTGGATTTCAATAATTTTCTAGAGAATAAATTGGTATACAGTTTGCCTTTTTAAAGACTAATCATATATTAGAAATGGAAGAAAATGACTAAAACGCTTTTTAAGAAGAAAAGCGTTTTTTTTTTAAATTACAAACTTATTTTAAAATGTTATGACGCAACTATGTAAAATTAAAAAAAATTAATATTTCATAAAATTAAAATATATTTCTAAAGAAAATAATTTTATAATATGTATTTTTTTTAAAGTTTATCCTAAATTCACTGCTAAATGTTAACAGCAAGAATCAAACATGGGCCTTAAAAGCGAAAATATGTCGATCCTTTAGCAAGCGAACCTATTATCTTGCCCCATACAAGTTTAGGAAAGCATAATAAAAAAATATTTTACACACAATTATAATGATGTCTATATAGAAAAAAAGTTTTAAAAAAAAAAAAACTTCATCTGTGTCTCTATGAAAAATAGTCATTTAAGATTGTAATACAAAAACTTAAGAAATGTATTTAATCATATTGTTCTTACAAAAAGTATTATTAAATTTATTATACCCATTTTAATTTTTTTTATATAATAAATGAATAGAGAGAAAAGATAGAAAATGGGTTTTGAGATAATAACCATATCAAGAATAAAATTAGAAACAAAAATAATTCTTCCTTAAAATTGTTAAATTATTTGTATTTTAACAAAAATATAATTGACTAAAGGAATTATTTCTCAAAGTTAGGACATGTTGTCATGGTTGGTATGGTATCCTTCGTCCATGGAAAAATAAAGAATGAAAGAAGAGTTTGAATTGGCATCTTCAAAGATGGTGTAAACCTTTTAGTAGAAACAATAAAATAGAAAAAAAAATGGTACTCTTATTACTTTCACACCTTCTTACTTTATTCTTAAAACTTAGCAAAAACTTTCACTCACATCACAACCCCTGTTACCATGGCATCATCAACCTTCAATCAATGGATTTCATTTTCATGGATGTTTCGCATTAAAACGAATTAACAACACAAGAGTGAAGCAACATGCTACTTTATCTTCGGTACATGGTTTAGTCTCATTGAAAACTTACATGACAGCATAAGATATCCAAATAAGAGGAAATAGTCTCACGCCTAAAAAGTGTGAAAGATAAATAAAATGGTGGAAATCAACGTCAATTACAAAAATATCTATAAATTTTCTGTTTTATGGGATGGGAAAAAAATATTTATGCATACCCACCTTCCTATTTTCAATTATTTTGTTTTCATAAGATCATAAAATATAAGGTTTTGATTATTATGCATTTTTATATTATTTTCATTTCGCTTTCACTTTACTTTTAATTTTTGTTATCATATCACATCTCACATATTTTTCAATTTTGTTTTTCGTCTTCCTATCCCATTATTCTATATTATGAGGAATTTTGCATAAATAAGAAAACTCATTTCTCACATAATTTATTCAATGACTAGGACATTTCAATATTCTTTGTAAGCATCAAGTTTTGACTTTTGACACACTAGCATAATGCTTTCTTTTCCCTTTTATATTTATTATTTTCCCCCATCACAAGCCATTGTCTATCATGGAAACAAAAAAGGAAAGAAAATATTTAATTTAAAACGCCAATTAATGGATCAACTGGTGAGTCAAAATAGCATACAAGTTCTATGTATATATGAATTTATTTTATGAAAATCATGTGTCATGTATTTGTTCCTTCATTAAATATCAAACACCAGATATTTAAAATATATAAAAAAAACTTTTTGGTAGGGTTTAGGGAAGAAATGTTATCACTTTCAAAGTTCATGTATTATAAACTTTAGTAAAAAAAAAATTTGTCTGTAGAGTCAACTTTAGAATTACGGTTAACTATCTTAGATTTTTCTTAATAATTGCTGCCACGTTATCTCGGATGACAATTAATTGAATTACTTTTTTCATACTAAAACTAAAAGACTAAATTATAATATAGTACGATTATTTAAATGTATTTTTTTTTGGGCTAAGAAAGGAGTTAAGAGTCCAGCAAAAATAATAAACTAAGGAGAGAGTCTAAACAGTCAAGAGTCACACTAGTCTAGAACTAAAAATAGGAGCAAGTCACAAGGAGTATGTTCCAATCTAACAAAAGAGGAAAATGACTCTATACCAATTTTAATTAACCTATCCGCACATTAATTAGTTTCTCTGAGAATATGGCTTAACCTAACAAATTTCACAAATTTAATATTATCCTTAATTTTACAAATAATATGATACAAAGGATGAGAGTGGTGGTAAAAGGACTGAATATAAACAATAGACTTAAGGGAGTCTGACTCAATCTACCAAAAAAATGACCCATAACTCAGCTTCCATAGAAGAGCGGGAGCCAGATAGGGGTAGAATCCAGCTACAAAATTACCCTTCCAATCATGAAAAACTCCACCGCATGGTAGCATTTTCTAGGTTGCCACACATAGCCCAATCATAATTAAGCTTTAGCTGACCCTTAGAAGGAGGAACCCATCTAATCTTAAGACAATCCTTAGCAAATGTAGAGATAGAAAAATGATCATTTTTATAATACAAACTAGAAAATTTAGCATCACAAATAATTCTCTGAGTAAAAATAAAGGGTTAGACAGTATTATTATTAAAAATAAAAGTATTTCTATTTTTTTAAAGATGTCAAATAATAAAACCAAATAGTCTTTACTAATTATTAAAATAACTAAAATAGTGATTAAACAAATTTTTAAAAATCTAATTAAACAAACCTACGAAAAAAACCAAGTCCAATGATCAAAGAAAATAAAATGATCTTAAACTTTTCTAGCCTGAAAATAATTACATAGCACATGCATAATAGATACATAATTATGTATAAATAATAATTATGCATAATAATCACGCATTGGATTAACATCCGTTAGTTAATAAAGCATCCATTAGTCTACATAAGTAAATATTTATTCATCTCATCAGAGTAAATTTACTTAAATGTCTTGTATTTGAAAAAAAAATTTAGAAAAGGTCAAATTTAATGTAATAAGATACATAATTATGTAATTATATAAGTAAATGAAGAATTTCCTACACTAATTAATGAACAATTTTTCCGAAGAACACTAAAATATTTCTAATGAACTAAGCAAAAGGTTTGATAGACAGCACCTTTTACCGAAGAGGTGACGAGGCATCATCCTTCAATAATTGGTTTTCATTATTCAATTGTTTGGTGCTTCTCATTAATAACCAAACATTGACATTCCATTTGTATAAGATATTAAAAGACCCTATGAAAAACACACTTTCTAATATATATATTTTTAACATATTTTTAATTATTAATTAAAATTTATTATTAATTAAAATTTATTAAATTAGAAGTAAAAAAATAAAATTTACATAATTTTTAATAAATTTTAATTAATAATATATAAAAATATATTGCTAACATTTTTCACTTACCAGTTTCCTATTTTCATCTGTCTCATTATTGAACGTTGGATTTTAGTTATCAATTACTTGTGTAATATTAATTAAAATAATTTTTTTTATTATTTATTTTCACCAAGATTTTTTTAAGAATGCTGTATCAATTAATAATTTTCTCTTGTACGTGTATTATTAAATTAAAATCAATTTTCAAATAATAATAAGTTATATAATTATTTTAGTATTTAATAAATCATATATTTTAAAAATTAAAATATTATAATTATTAATTATAAATATTCTATTATATTAAATAAAATAAAGAGATAAATTTTAAATTAAAATTCTACTTAAACCCAACGAGTTTTTCCACTCAACTTCTCTTCTTAAAATTTTTATAACAAAAAAATTAAATAAAAGGATAAATTTTAAGTTAAAATTATAAAAGATTCAAAATTTAAATTTATATTGAATTCAAAATAAATGTTTAGTATAAAAATTTATATTGAGTTAAAAGTAAATACTTAAATATAAAACATTATTTAACATAAGGAGAGAGGACCAACTTCTAAAACTATTTTTATTTAAAAAATTCTTAAAAATACTATTATTTGAGAATTTGTATTCATAAATTATATTGATAAATATTTTATTATATTAAGTAAATTTAAATAATTAGATTAATTTAAAATAAAAATAAATATATAATATAAAAATTTATTTGACATGATAACAAAAATCATTTCTTAAAAGTATATTTATCTAAAAATCATAAAAAAAATACTCTTATTTAAGATTTTGTTCCCACAAGTTATGTATAGAAGTTGATAATTAAGTTTAGATCTAATAATTTAAAACTTTTATAACAAAAGAAAGCATTAATTTTCAAAAGAAAATCTCATTATTTTTATGTACTGTTACTCTTCAGATAGCTCCGAACCGCACCGTAGGAGCAAAGACGATTTGATTAAGAACAAAATTCTAAAGATAAAAGTGTTGATTAATTTATAGAATTTACCAAGACTTTTCTATATTAATAGTGTTAAGTTGTTTTCTATTAAAGAATTATTAACAAATATTTTTTCTTTTATGTATTAAATTGACTTTTCATTGTTTTATTTTACAAAAATATTAAGAATGCAAAGTAGAAAAAAAGGGGTGAGGGGGTAGAAAAGAGCTTAAAGTAGCCAACTTTTCACCTAAAAAGAAATCTAAAATCATTATATGGAGCTTCTTGGGCTTCAATCTTGATGCATAGGTAAGGCAAATCTCAACCTCAAACTATGGATCCCAACTTTCTGCCCCTCAAAACTATAAACCAAAAAATCTTATCCAAACAAAACAAACCCACCTCGAAATTTCACTTAAATTCTTTTTCATTTCATAAAAAATATAATAATATCATTCCATTTCACTTATAATAACGTAAGATGTTTTTTGTGTTTTATACATTATGATGGGGTTTTATATGAATTAGAAAACTTGTTCATACATGAGTTATGACAAGGTCAAGGGCATTTCAAGATTCTTCATGTTCGTGGGCATCAAGTTTTAACAACTATTGCGCAATAAGCGTATTCATATCTCATATTTAATAATATGCATATTGTGGCATTGAAAAAAATAAAAGAATAAGAAGAGAAAGAATTGCTTGTCCACACTTTATTGTCCTTTTCAAAAACAAGTAGAGTTGCTTCTAGATCTTGCTGTTATGTGTACTCTTCTGTATATGATTTCATTTTCTTACTTTCTAGTTCTGGTTCCAATCATTAGCCAAAGTAATAAGCATATTGCCAAAGCCCCCTCAGTTTTACCTCTTAAGAAACACCCCCATTTAATGATAATAATAATAAAGTAAACACCCCTATTAAATAATAAACTCCAAAACAAAACGGAATGAAGCATATTTATATCTCATATATATCTTGAGAAAGAGAAGAAAAATAAAATAGATAATTGTCTTTACATTTTTGTCTCTTGTATAATTTTATAAGTTTTCTAAACTATTATTCTCAAAATATCAATTAAAATATTGATAAATAATTTTTTTTATTAATAATTATATTAAAGACACATTAAAAATTATATGATTACCCTTTTATAAAAATATTTTAATTTTAAAAAATGTTCTTAAAGTAGTAGTTAATATTTGTCTTTTTGTATACTAACTCTTATTTTTATTATTATATTTTTTTTTTTACCTTTATCTTCATCGCAAAATAGGAAAAAATATTTATGAACTAAACATATATTTAGTCTATAAAATTATTAAATTTTTATTCTGGTCTTTGATTAAATTTTATTCATTTCCAATTCATATGAAATAAAAAAATGCTTTTAATTTTTAATGAGAGACTAAAAATACACTACTTTTATTAAATATAAAAATTTAAAATATAATTTTAGTCTCTACAAAATTATCAAATTTAATATTTAATTAAATTTTATTTATTTTTAATCTCTTTAAAACACAAAATATATACTTTTAATTTCCAATAAAAAAAACTAAAGCTACACTATTTTTATTAAATATAAACAACTTAAAAAATAAAATTTAACTTTATAAAAACTGAAAATATATTTAACACTCAAAAGTAATTTTTCTTTAAAATATTTTTACACCTCTTATTTATTTTTTATTTTTGTACCGTATTATTTGTCATATTTTTCTCCCTGTTCTGTGCCAACCTCATAAATCTCATTTTCGTGTCTACATTCATCATCTTTCAATGGGAAATGAGACGATCATTATTCTATAATAAAAGAAAGAAGTGCTCAGTTAACCGTTCCCTCACATCTCCATTTCTCCACTAAACCAGAGCCTTCTTCTCCAAGTTACAATGCTCTCTTAACGTTTTTCTCTTTTTGACTCTACTCACTTTTTCTTGCATCTTTCCACCTCCATCACTCACTACAAACAAATCAACGCCCATTTTAGCTCATCACAAAAACACCCAATGGAATTTTCCCATTTTTTTACTTTCTCCTCACAGTAACACGCACGATCACCTTCTTCCATTCCCTTAAAAACCCCACCATTCATCTCACATCACTTGAGTTAAAGCTAGCAACTTTCATCCCACAGATGCCTGAATTCCAACCCAAACACTTCCACTCCACTCTCTTCACATGGGTTTACCTCCTTTTCTTACGCCACCATGTTGTTGATGCACAATCATCCATGGAGCCAGTACCCACATACATCAACCACCATAATTGGGAACCTTCTGTTGCAATCACTGTTGGAGCCATCATTTGTGCTCTTCTCTTCATGGGCATCATCTCAATCTACATAAGAAGGTGTGCAGAGTCACACATCATCATCACCCAGGCCACCACAAACACCACACACTTCCCATGTTCATGTTCACAAGGCATCAACAAGGAACTCCTCAACACCTTCCCAACCTTCTTCTACTCCAACATCAAGGACCTCAAGAAGGGAAAAGAAGCACTTGAATGTGCTGTGTGCTTAACTGATTTCAAAGAGAAAGACACCCTAAGGCTGCTCCCTAAATGCAACCACGTGTTTCACCCTCAATGCATTGATTCATGGCTAGCTTCACACGTGACATGCCCAGTTTGTCGTGCGAATCTGAACCAAGATTCATGCCATGTTGCCATAACTGTCCCTACCCAGTTGAGCACTGATGATGAAAGTGGAACCAGAACTGAAACTGGTGAAGAAAACCAACAAGAGCCAAACCCAAACATAAACACCAACCCAAACCCAAATCCAAATCCAAACCAAAACCAAAAGCAAAACCAAGGTGAGGTTAATGGTAGTAGTGATGATGGGGGTGCATCAAAATGGAACCTTTTGAGGTCAAATTCAACTGGGCATTCACTTGTTGAGCCAGGGAAGTGTGTGGAGAGGTACACGTTGAGGTTACCAGAAGATGTGAGGACGTACATTCTGGTGAACCATGGATCAACTGTTCAACGTTCTTTGAGTTACCACACCAACAACAACAACAACGTGGTTAAGGGGATGTGTTGGAGTGATAGTGAAGAGAGTAACGGAGGGAAGAGGATCAATGGTGAGGTGAGGGTGGAAAGGTGGGTGCTTTGCACACCGCCATTTGTTGGGCGCCATGGTTGAAGAGTTTTGTCGAACACTTTCTGTGCTCTCTACATTGCCTCTTCTCTGTGCATCTTTGTTAAGAGGTAAAGGTTCTCAAAGTGAAGATTGGTGATGTTTGGGTTGTTTCAATAAATGGGTCTTTGTCCATTCTCGCAGAGATTATGATATTTTGGTGTTACAATGTTGAAGCAGAGGATTGACATGGAAGATGAACAGTAGGTCCTCAATGATTGAGTCAACTCGTTTTCTCTTTGGCTTATGAGTCAAATCGTTTTCTTTCTTTCTTTCCTTTTTCTTTTTTTTGACTTATTTGGGATGAGAGAGCGAGATCATGGTCTTTTGCATATTTTGTGATTTATTTTATTTTATTCATTTATAAGATACCTATTACCTAGTATTATTAATCGGAATTATTTTATCTAATCATCTTATCTACAAAAGATTTATAATTGAAGGGCACTTAGTTTTGTCGGTCTAAAGTGGTGAATCTGAATTTCCCAGTCTCTTCTGTGTTTGTTTTCTCCAAGATTTTCAAACTTCTTTCATATAAAAAAATTCAACTGTTATGATTTTTTTTGGAAGCATGTAATGGTTTAACATTTTAAATTTGACAACACAATTCGATTATGTTAAAGCTTTTCTATCAATCTCAGATAATAACATTTGGTGTAATAATTAATTTCTTTAAAATATTAATTTCATCTAAAATATGTTATTCTGCCATTAATTACATTTTAAATTTTAACTTAATTGTGACCAAGTAGTTATTTGAAACTTCTCTAATGCACAAAAATAAAATTGCCATTCTCAAAAGAGAATAAAAATGAAATAAATGATTGACTTTTAATCACGTGACCTCCAACTTACGGAACAGCAACATTGCATTACATCAAGCCTTATACTTGCGATAAGATTCATATCTTAAAAGAAAAATATCTTCTGAGTTTGCCTTTAAAATAAACAACTAAAGATTATCCACCTTTACATTTTGATGGATTAAAATACACTTTAAATATAAGATCACTTCAAAGAAGTCTTCATGTTTATTTTATAAACGAATTATGGTCACCTTCAACCTTTGTTCTCATCAAAATCAATGACTGGTATCTCAAAGCCATTTAAATAAGCTAAAGTTATTATAGTGCCTTTCATTATCATAGAGAAATAAAGCCAATTTAATTACTGACAAGCACTACTTGTAACTGCACACCAGTTTGGAATGGGATTTTTTTTTTCATAATTGTTTTGGATGTCAAATTAACATCATGAAGTTCATAAGATAAATTAGAAAACTATAAGGTTTAAGGCATGATCATAAAAGTTGAAAAAGCAATGTTATACCCTCTGATTATATTTTCTTATTAATCTTTTTAATATTATATAAATGAAAATTATATAAAAAAAGTAAATTATTTAATATCTTTAAAAATATAGGATATATTTAATTATTATTTTTTTTACTTTTTTTGCCACAAAGATTTGCCTATTGAATTTACTTTGTTAAAGACAGTCCTACCAAATCACTTGCAAGCAAAATAGCCACACCGAAGATGGGGATCAATATCATGAAGCACAAGGGACCAAAGAGATACAGTAAAGGAGAACCTAATTGCCCATCACCCACTAGTTTTCTTTTTCGTGGCCAAGACAAATTCGGATAAGCTCTAGTTTAATTAATGTTATTTGCATATTCACACGAAAACACAAATTAAGATAATGACGCATCAAACTCCTCGTAAATGAAAAATCACAATCACTCTTGCCATTATTGGTGTTCTGTATAACATGTGGTTGCCAATTTTACAAATATGGATCAATGACTCTGGCTGATTTTGGTTTGCAACGTATAAAAAGGGGGGATGATAATTGTGTCTCCTTCAACTTCTCCACCTTTCTGGTCCAACATGATTTCATTGAATGAAAATGACAATGAGTCTTAAGCAGTTTGATTTGAACGGGTAGAGCCTAACATGATAGGCTTTTGTCTTTCCCTGGATGTTATCTGTGGCTCTTGAAAAGCAAGGAAAACAAGGGTAACATTAACAAAGGCCTCTAATTTCACAAAACAAATATTAGGCACTAAAAACGGGGGCAAAAGAAATACCAAATTCAAAAATGCCATGTACACACACCTATTATCGTTCTTAAGCACTCAAACCATTCATATATTTTCTTATTAGTTAGTGTCCTATAACACTATCATCACAACTAGACAGAAGACACCTACTTGTATGTTAAACAGAGCCAATCATAATTATATAGTGAGTTTAAATTACATATGCATGGAATATTAAATTTAAAAAATTTATCATATTTTGAAGTACTTAATTGCCCACTTTCCCTTTGAATTATTCATGATAAGCACAGCGCTAACAGGTAATTTTTTAACCATCTAGTAAGGCAAAAATGGAAAATGCCGCAGGTTTCCACCCTTTTAGGATTGAAATTGCTGCTTTACCAGGTCTTTCATCGATGTGTCAAAATGAGGTTTCATTTGTACATCATCCACAAACCCCAACCATATTCCCGCTTATTATTATAGCAACTAATTTGTAGCAGGTTACCAAGTATGTTCTAATTCTAGTTGCCTTAAATCAATTAAATAAATGTTTATTCTAGCATATTAAACATAAACTGGTTCATTTTCTGAGTTGAGAAAGATAAATAAAGAATGTGCAACTAATGTTGCTTGAAAGAAATGCCAAAAACAGCAATCACTTTACTCCAAGAATCTGATAATTTCTTCTTTCTCCACCTTGGTGTGTGAGGTGTAAGCTATTGCGTATGGGACAACCTTTTAGACTGTACGATCTTTTAAATAAGTCCAGTTAAAGTTCTAGATTTAGATTAATAATTTAGAAAAGCTAGAAGAATAAATTAAAATGCTACTAAGATTGGACATTACATATTTGAAGTGAGCATCTTATTACCAGTAAGATAAAACAAAATATGGATTATGATTATCACTTTTTATGGTTAATTAAAAAAAAATGTGATCTTTTATGAACTTTAGAGGATTAGTAATATGCCCCGTGCCCCCACCTACTATGCGTCATATTGAATATTGGGTTGCTTAAAGACAAAACTCATGAAAGCACCAAGTTTTGAGATGAGGACATATACTAGTAAACAAGCACGTAAAGAGAAAGTTTAGGAGTTTTTTGAAGTTGGTATTGCTTGATTGAAGCAGAGAGAAAACCACTACAGATGCAAGGATTGCAAACACTTTTTTTAGGGGTAGGAGTGATCATTTTGATTCAAAAAATAAAAGGGGTTAACAAGAGTAAACGGTGACGTGTCCAAAAGATAGAGCAAGAATAATTAAAGGGTTTTTTGGGCAATGCTAATAAAAGGCAGTGACCCTTGTGGTTGCATCATAAGCTGTATAGCAGAAACCATGTGAGACCCACTGTAAGATAGACACAGATGGCAAAAGCAGAATCTTTTTCATGGACATGAGTACGCAGGGAAAGGGACCCTAAAGGGAAGGATTCCAATTTCCAACTAGTCTATCCTGGGTTCAATTTTGATCCACAGTAAAAAAAAGACACTATTATGCAATCATTTGTTGATACATCTTTAAAAAAATTCTAACTTAATAAATAATTATAGTTTTTTTAATGATGTGACAATGAATGATTAGAGAATAAAATTTTGCACTGACAAAAAAGTAAAACTAAACCCTAATATCAGTGGGAAGTTTTCTTCTGTTGGGTAAATAAGTGGGTTCTAATCTCAAACTTGAAGAAAGGGAACACCCATTTATTGATGAGTCAGTGACCGATAACCACTAATCCAAAGTCATAAAGGGTTGTATTCTTAATTTACAATTTTGTTATTCTTATTTCATACTATTAAATAGTGGATGTTATCTAAAGAGAAAATGTTTGATTGTTATTGTTTGTGTTTATACTAATAAATCCACATATTTCTCCCTTTCATTACGCCAACCATCATTGAAAAGAAAATTCCATGACAGTCACATTCCACGTTCTCTTTCTTTCTCTTTTTTTAAAAGTGGTAAAAGTAGGAAGAGGTTCAAGTATTTATACTTAGAATAACTTTCGTCCTAAACCCTGAACCAACGGAAGAAATTCTGAAGCATGCCGGATATAAGATAACACTTTATAGTACTATGGAACATGAACTACAGTCTATGGCAATTATGTGAGGATTAGCACTATAAATAAATAAATGTAAGGATTAAAGTAAGAGATTATAATAATATATACGTCAGACACATTGACACCTAAATGTTCCTAAGAATCTCTAACAAAGGAGACACCAAAAACTTGGAAATGTTTTGACATACTTTTTCAAGTGTCATATCATATGTTGCTACACAACTGTCCTCTACAAAACCAAAGGGCTAATGAAGGGAAAGGAGAGATATATCTTACTGGAAATGAGAGCCTTTGGTCTGTTCTTGAACAGAATCTTATGTCTAATGACTCCAGCAACTTGCAGTTCCACCTTACAACCACTTTCTCCATCTTGATGCTTTACTTTCTTCAGCACAACCATTGGCTTCTTCAAGGGAACCTTTGACCCTGTCAGTTCATGGTATCCAACAGTGAAAGTGTAGACTTCCTGAATACAAAAATCACGATCACGAACACATAAGATTAGTTTACCATAAACTAAACAGAAAAAAAGAATAAGAATTTTATTTGTGGGTAATAACATTTTCAGAAAACCAACTTGGGTCAACCGGTGAAGTTGATGGTTTAATTGACTCTAATCATTTTTGGTCCTTAAAAATATAATTACATTCAATCAAGTCTTTTATTCCGTCAGTAATTTATCTGATTCTATTAAGTAAAGATACCCAATAAGAAAGACAATACTAAAAGATAATAAACAATAATCAAAATATAGATTATGGTTTTAAATTGCGATGAACAACCACAATTGAAGCCACAATATTACATTCTGGAAGAATACTACCATATTACAATCGTAATTTTAGTTGTATTAGTCACATTTATCCTTAAAACTTTCTTAATTTCAGAAATTAAATTTAAAATCTTCATAGAGTTCGGTGACATGTTATAATTTCTTACGATAACTTTTAAAATTTAGATCTATTTCTAAAGTGAACTTTTGAATATGAAGTACACTTACAATGATTATTAGACGGCAACGCTGTATAATACGAAAAATCTTGCCACAGAAAAAGTAGGAATTCTAAGTGAAAAAGTTACGACTTGCTTAACCAGACACGTAAGCGTGAGAATAAAAATTAGCTTCCAATGAAATTGCGCCACTAAAAATTTGTGTCAATTCGTGTCGGTTGTTTTTCTACTACCAATCATTTTTATTGATTAAAACAGTTGATAAAAAAATTTGAAATTATTTACAATTTTAACGATTATTTTTTCAATAAATGGTTATTAATATTTTTTTATCTTTTAAAGTACATTTTGCTTATTTTAAAATTTTAATTTTTTATAAAATAAAATTTTATTATTTTTTTGTCTTCATATTTTATTTTATATCTAATATTAATCTCTTTACTTTTTAATTGCTCATATTTTTTTAATTATTTAAAGAAACCAAAATACATATAAGTAAAATATAAGACTAAAAATTCAATTAAGTAAAAAATATAAAATAAATATATAATTTGATCACCTAAAGTGTTTGTACTTTTAATCTTTAGTCGTTTTAAAAATTTTGTTTTGTACAATTTAGTTCTCAAATATACAATTTGCTCACATTATAATTTTTTGCACAAAAATATAAGCAAAATAGGAGTTAAATATAGGCAAAATCAATAAGTTCATGAACCAAATTATACACATCAACACTTTCAAAGATCAATTAGTTTCAAAATGGACCAAAATGTGAACAAGTTATCGCATTCAAAGATGAAATTGTATAAAATAAATTGTTTAGGATTGAAAGGTAAACAACACTATTTTCGGGAACCAATTTGCATATTTACTAAAAAACTAAATGATTATTTCTCTGAAAAAATGCTTAATCAAAGATATCATCAAACTAATGGATCGGATTTGATAAACATGAGAAAGAATGGAACCTGAGAAGAAGGACGGCACAGAGTACCGATCTCAAGGTTCGGGGGAGAATGGTGGAATCCAGGTTGTGGTTCAACCACTCCTTGCAATTCTATGATGCCCCATTCCTCGCAGTTTCCTTCTCCACAGTTACACTTCACGCGAATCTGCATCTTTCACTCTCGTGCGTTTCAGAATAGAGACTTTATTGGAATGTGTTTTGGCGCCAAAGGGACTTGTTTTTCCCGCCCAATTTCGTTGAAAATTGTACAATTACATTAAATGTTGATTTTAGAATTTTTGTTTTTACCAATTATTTACACGCAGCTCAATTAATTGTCAAAAAATTAGAATAGCTTTTATTACTGTTAATGTAATTTTCAGTTTTCTTTTTGTTACCATCGTATACTTATTTTGATTTTAAGAAAGGGTTTTTTATTAATATTTTTAAAATTATTACCTGTCTTTTATTTGATCATATTTTTAATAAAATTATACAGAAAATATTAAAAAAGCTTATACAAATCTTTAAAAAGAAAAACAAGTAAAAATAACCTAATGTTTTTATACAGAGAGAGATAATGTCTCAAATAAAAGAACATTTTAACATGGAAATGAAATATATAAATATTAATTATTAAATCTATTTATAAGAAGATTAAAATAATCATATAATCATTAAATAAATTTTATTTTAATTATTTGTACATATATATAATCAAAATTTATTTCTCTTAGTCTTTGATGTTAAAAGCCATCTGCCACATTACTTTTATAAAAACTAAGCAAATATTACGACCTATTTGATTTTGTTCAATTTTTATTTTTATTTTCAATGAAAACAAAAAAAATAAAAGAAAAAATATATTTGTTTAGATTTAAAAACTATTTTTTTCAAGATGTTTTTAAAATTTAACTCAAACTTTTTAAAATAAAAAAAATGTTTTTAATATTCTCATTAAGAATAAAAATACTTAAAAATGAGAAAAATAAAAATATAGTGACATAATTAAAAATGTTATTCAATTTTAATTAGATCATATTATATTTGTTGACTAACGCTTTAGTTTTCATCTTTTTTATCTTTTTTATCTTATTTTTTCTTCACATTTATTATTCTTACTTTTTTTACTTCTTTTTTTTCCTATGATTTTTTTTTATTGAAATATAGTGAATTTTTTTTTACTTTTACTATTCTTACAAAACTGAGTATGTATCTTTTATTTATATTTTTTTAATTTTCATATAGTTTTAGTGTCATTTTCTTCTTCAAAATAATGTTCAATTTTAATATAATATAAATGTCATCCTCTACGCATGAGTTTTGTAAAAATAATAATTATGTTAATTGATGTATATATAAAATGAGTTAATTAACGAAAATTGAAAAAATTACTTTTAATATTAACAAGACTCTCTTTAAAGGTAAACTGAAATATATTATTTTAATAATAAATTATTACTTTGCTTATAAATTATTTATTTATTTAGCATATTTGTTTTAAAATCAATTAAAAATAATTTGTTTTTATATAATTTTTTTACATAAATTTATTAGCACAAGATTATAAAAAAAAAAGAGAAAAAAAAAAGTCCATGAAATGGACAACCCAAAATATAAAAGTTTTCTTTATTAAAATGCGTTAATACACGTATGGATTATTTAGAACACTCATAATTAAATAAAATAAAATTAAAAAAATATACACTTTTTAATTTTTCTTAAACACATTTTTATTAAAATTAATAAATATATACAAAATTAATACATTTATATTAAAGAAAACCGTACATATTCTAAATTATAGTTCTATTTATATTATATTTTTGTTATTTGAATTTTAAGACGTGATAGTAATAATATTTAAACTTATTAAATAAACAATGCAATAAAATTAGTATTAGTAATGATATATATTGTAAAATTTTTATTATAAAACATTAATAATTAATTTTGAACTTTATATAAAAATACATAAATCTATTATTGAAAATAATTAAACCAAACCCATTTTCAATATTTTATGATTTTAAAACAAACAATAAAAAGTCAAATCAAACTCAATTGTTTTCTAGAAAATGAAACCATGGAAACATCCTGAAACCATACAGGCCCATAGATTCTCATGATTATTATTGTTTTCTCACATCATAAAAAAAATAGTTTATATCATATGACTGTTAAAAGATTTTTCTCTTAATAATATGAAAACATGTGATAAAATAACATGTCGCGAAAAGTTATGCATAATTTTTGTCTTCACTAGAATATAATTGAAAGTACATGAACTTTTGCTTATTCTATACCCAAAGAGGAATGGAATTTTTAGTACCAAGTCCTACCATTATGGACAAAAGGCCAAACAAGAATGAAGCTGAGAAGATTCTAAAATAAACTTATATTAGACACCAGTTCTACAGCCAAGCTAACATGATGATAATTGAAAACTACCCCAAGAGAATGAAAGCATATTCTACAATAATACAAAGGACCAGATTAAAGGATTACATACCAAAATACCAACAAAAGTAGGTTAAAGCTTTCGTGGGGTAGCTAGGTAGCTTTTTTTACCAACCTTTCCTAACTGTACAATGTTAGTTCAAGGCACAAGCTGGTTGCTTATCTAACAAACATTCCTTCTATTATCTTCACCACCACAGTGTCTGGCTCCAGAAGAATTTCCAATGCCAATATTTCTGGTGTGCTGCAATGATGGATCAACAAAAGATTGTTGAAACATTGGTTTCTGTGTGCCAAAGTATGGATTGCAATAGTAATCAGTTTGGTATAGATTATCTAAACTGACTTTTGACGACAAGGCCATTTCACTGTGCTGGTTATTTGATGAGCTGAGTTGCTGTTGAAGGCAGTTTTTGGGATTTTGATCAGAGTCTATTGGGATTGTGCCAGTGAGAGTTTTTATTGCAAATTCAATGCATGGATCCATCCATGACATGTCATCAGGTGTCTTTTCAGAAGATGGTACTGCATTCTCATTATTGGCCTTCTCTTCTGCTTTGGCCTCACTAGCAAGTGCTTGTGGAATAGCAAAGTTTTCTGGAGATGAAAACACACTGTCACCTGATCCTTTCTTTTTCTCACCATGCCCTTCAGAAGCGGCAGCAGCAACGGCAGAGGCTTCAGAATGCTGGGTGTTTTTCAACTCAGAAGAAGTCTGTGAGCTTATGGAGGTTTCAAATGTTACTCCAGTGAGAGTTTGAATTGCAAATGCAATACATGGGTCAGTTAGTAGTTCTTTGAGGGGAAAGTCAAGGGTGTAATCTAATTTTGCATCAACATTATCTCCATTTTCAAGGACACTCACACACTCTTTCACAGTAACATTGTTCTCCAGAGGCAAAAAAGAGAGGCATTCATTATCCTTGTTACTTCTATGCACTTCTAGAGTCTTCTCAGGATGCTTTTCAGATTTGGTTTTAATTTCTGACCCATCCTCAGGTGCATTAAACTGTCTTGCTAGACCATCAGACAAGCTGTCGGAGGATTTATCCACATTTGTGACGGTTTTTTCCACAAGGGATTGTTTAGCTGCACCACGACGTGCTCGACTTCTTGTTACAAGTTCTGGAACAGGATCAAGCTTAATTCCAGCAAGACGCTTTGAGGCACGGCGAGGAAGATTGATCTCTTTCTTGTGCTTGTATTTGCGCTTGTGATTTCGGGCTTGCACTTTTCCAGTTCCATATTTTGTCTCTGAGTTTTCTTGAGGTTGCTTCTCTTGGGCATCTTCGTCAAGGCAACCTGAAACTAAAGTGCCTTGAGCTAAACCAACCTTCCCTTCTTTCTGATCCGAACTTTCAGCTTGTGATAGAGATGAACTGGTCAATTCAGTGCCAACCAAACCTAGATCACGTAATAAATGTACGTCATATGCAAGATCTTTACATATTAATTAGAAAGCAAAAGCTACCATAAATACAAAACCTATCTAATTTTACTTTACCTTAAAATAACAAAAGTACAAATAATTGTTTATAAACCAGAATTAAACCCAAAGCTCTACTGAGCAGAAAAAATGTGCCTTGGTTTACAGGAGATGGCATATTTGTATATGATGTTTACTAGTTGATGTTGGTTGCCAAACATAAGTTGAGAACAATACTAAACTGATGAAGACCAACAGAATGTCATTTAGTCATGTATCTAATTACACGGAGTCTGTAGTGTTAACTTCAAAGGAAAAAAAGAAAAGTTAGGAGCTTTACCCTGATGGAAAATACATTCCGAGATGGACATAGCATATTCTCCAGAACCTGCTGGTCTTTGAATCTGTTGGTTACTAGCTATCATGTCCAAGTCTGAGCTCTGACCAATGGTAACTGATGATGTTGGTTTCATGTTTACACTTGCTGACTGCGAAGAAATCATAGACAGGAAGTTTGTAAAAGTAGAAACCTTAGTGGCATTAATTAATATTTAATGGCATTAATTTCTCCTTCCCAGTTTTGATATGCTTAAAGCCGTAAGATGGACTGGTACAGTGGAAGGGAAAGTTTAGCATATGAGATAATGAGACTAACTAATTAATAGACATAAACTACAAGCACAATTCTAACGACCCTACATGAAATTTGTCAGCTTTTAACGCCTTATCACTGTTGTCTTTGTCTTTTGGCTCAAATGTGTCACTTCATATTTCTCCAGATTTAAGATAGTGATCAACATCTTTTATTGAGCAGAATGTATACTCACAGGGTCGTTGTAGTACTACATATATAATTGAGAAGTGTGAAATGTGAATTACTGAGTTATTCTTTTAGTGGTTGGGTAGGTGATACATTAAAGGCACAAACAATTCTGATTAAAGAGGTGCACATCCTCCTACTCCTAAATGCTCAAAAGTTCATATTTGGACAGAAAAGTGAGAACTAAGGTATATCAAAGTACTGTTGATTTTGGAAAAGAGTATGGAAGAAGTACAAAACTAGTTGCATTTTGTGAGACTGATTTTGAATGATGCCAGGATGATATGAGGGGTATTACGGGATATTGTTTTACTCTCGGTTTTGAACTTTCATGGTTTTCAAAGAAGCAACAAAGTGTTATATAAAAACTAAATATGTCTAACAAAAACCAGCAATTGTTATGGCTCAAATTCCAGTTATATCACAGCTGGACAAGGCACATTGAATTCAATTGTCACTTCATTTG